TCAGTTCAAGTTCTGGCTGATTTGCACACCTCTCCCTTTTTTCACTACTTAGCTTCAGTTCGGGCTTTGTTTATATGTACACAGTTACTTCCACGGTTATATTTCGGCTGTTAGCATTGCCCCATTACGCTGGCCATTCGGCGTGGAAGCAGAGATCCTGTTCTGGCCATTCTAAGTGTTTGAATTATTTATGGGGGGTGTGCGGGGTCTGAGCCAAGTCGCCGCGTGCTAAACGCTTTACTGTTTAGGTAAGTCTTGGCCGACAACCTGTGGAGGCTTCCCGTGGTCGGGCCTAAGATCTCGGATCTGCGATCTGCGATCCGAGGGGATTGGCGTGTAGCCTGTAAATTCGCTTGAATCGCGCACTACGTGCGTGGCATTCCAAGAACGGCGAGCGAAGAAACCCGGATGGTTGGCATACACATCAAATGTAAATATCGAAAGCGAAATTCCCCGCTTACGCTTTGAAAAGATTTGTGAACTCAGCGTCGACAGATGTCAGGAAACGAGTAGTGCGCTCTGGCAGAACGAATAGGCCTGCCCTTGCACTCCAATTATCTGGCAATGCGGAAGCGATCTTCGATCTGGAGGCAGCCTGTCCATTAAGGGCTCTGGGAGGTCGCATCCGTCACAAGTCCTCGAAAGTTGTTCCCAGAAGCGGTTTGCAACCCGGTCGACGGGGAAAACCCAGGGGACTTCGGCTGAGGGCAGGATGAACTGCGGCAAGTCCAAGGCCGTCGCAACCGCAGGTCCGGTTTTGCACGAATCTTTTCCGCACTTGTTTTATATCGTTTTGCATTAATATTTATGGCGCAAGAAAACTCTTCCAATTATACGCCAAGGGCGTGTTAATTGCTGGCAGCTCTCGGAGCTTGGAGCTCGGATCTCGGACCTTCGACCCAATATCACCGGTTTGCCTGGAAACAACAGGCCGCAAGCGTGGCCAATTTCGAGCTTACGTTGGGCCACCGCCGAGCCAAATAGCAGCTTTAGGATCGGCATTGGAAACAACACCCGCGATCAGCTGTCGTGGTTGGAGCTGCCAACTGGTAAACAGTTAACAGCTGATCGGAGTTCGGAGTGGCGGAGTGGCGTTTGCAGGGCCATCAGCCTCCTGAAGGACGTTGGCAGGGCGAGAGGAGCGCAGGATCCGAACTGAACTGGGTGCGATTTCGCAGGCAGCTTGTGCAAGCGCGGTCCGCGGGGTTGCCACACAGCTGGACACCGGATCGAAAAACCAAATCGATTATCTCGGATGGCCCAGCGGGTGAGGGGAGGGGAGGGGAAAGAGGGGAGCTGTTTCTGAGTCGAGAGCACCGTCCAGTCCAAAACGGTTTCTTTTGTGAACGGACCCACCGAACAGTTGCAAAAGAGCGAGAAAATCACATGTGCGGCGGGCGACTTACAACTTACCAGCAACGCGAAAATCCCAGCTGAATGCAGGCAGGCAGCAGTAGATCGCAGCAGTTGGTAAATCACTGGCAACCGAAATCTGAAATCTGAAAACTGCAAAAACCACAACACACAAATTGCACGGGCCCGGACTGTTTCACAAAGTGTGTTGCCAAAGAACTTTGTGGAGTGATAACTTTCGCAACGGCTTTTGGCGCACTCGTTTGGGGCGAGTGGCGACTTCGATTGGCGCGCGCTTGGCTTCTCAATGAAAACTGAGCCACGTTCGCGCTGTGAGGCTGATTAAACGCGAATTGCGGATTGCGGATCGCAGGTGCCGAGCTCCGATCGTCGATCACCGATGCCCCTGCTGCCCAGTTCCGAGCGTCGAATGTCGAATGTCGACGCCGACGCTGCGCAGACGCAGGCGCAGCCGGGAGTGCAAAGCAGCGTTGCCAGTTTAGCTTGTTTATAAGCTAGATTTTTAATAAAATAAAAAAAAAAGCTAAAATTTTCCAGTTTTAAATGCTATTTTGATGTTATGTTATGTTAAATCTGCGGTTATACTGGAAAATTTTAGCTTATTCTAGCTTATTTTATTAAAAATCTAGCTTATAAACAAGCTAAACTGGCAACGCTGGTGCAAAGCCGACGCTGCCAACGCCGCCGCTGTGGAAACTTTACGGCCAGCGCCAAGAGCAGTGCAAAACTTTCCGCGCCGAGCGCCAAGTGCAGCACGAAACAAAGCAAATATTCTAATTGCCCCGGACCCCCGACCGCAAGAGTCCAGCGTAAACCCCAACCTGAACCCGAACCCGAACCTGAATCCGATCCCGACCCAGAACCCGACCCCGAACCCAAATCCGAACCCCAACCCTAACCCTTACCCGGTTTTTTGCGCTCCTGTTGGCCTCTGATGTCAGCGAGGGACGAGGTCCAAGTGCAGCTGACGGCGAAACATGTAATTGCAACCGAACATCCCGCCCAATTGCAAATTAATAGGTATTACCAGCGATAAACTTCCCAAAAGCCCCGACACCTGTTTTTTCCCATTCATATAAACTCTATATATACTTCCAATTGCCTACAAATGTATGTAGATGATCTTGCTCATTGACACAGAGAATTACAGGGATTTCTGATTGCGATATTAGTCAAATCTGAACCTGTTTGTCCAAAAAAATGAAAAAAAAGTAAATTTAAAATATTCAAAGATTAAGGATAAATGCATAAATTCCAAGTGAATTCGAGTTTTGTCGAACGTTGACTGAGGTTTTGACATAGGGTTTATAATTATGGGTAATTTTTGTTAGAATATGGTGGACTTAACGCATTTCAACAATACGTGTTCAATTAAAAATACATTATATATTTATTTCATTTATTATATGCATAATTAAAAAATCAACTGTTAAAACCAATCTAAATGTTAAGGAAAACTACACCATATTTCCTCAGTTATAATATCCAAAGTGGCTTTACCTTTCAAGTGTATTCGAAATTTCATAGAGTATGTATCAGTCTTGTATTTTTGTTTTTTACTATAAATATTTAATTGTTTTCCCTTAAAAAAACAAAGTATGTAATTGGTTAGCTATATTTGTTTTCCATTAATGTTTTAGAAGCCATTAGGAATAATTTTTTTAATTTTGTGATCTTTCATGTATATGATATCTTCTGATTTAAAAACGTATATTTTGTAACTGAAAAATAGAAAGGATAACAAAAAGGAACGCTTGGTGCCATGACTATTAAATATTCCCAAATTATTAATTTTTAATAATGTTGATTAAAGGTGTAGATTTACTTTATGGGGTATTTCAAATACCGTATTTGCCATCAAATAGTGTATACGCATTACTCTTGGAAAAACGGGCTTAAGAAAGTATGTTTAAGTTCTGTGCTACTGAAACTGAGAAATTTCTAATGGTTCTGAAAATCCAATAGTATCCCACTTGAGGGCTTTCCGTTGGGAAATTTCAAGTCGGATGAGGATCTTACCCGCTGAGCACCTCACTTCGTTTGATTTGCCTCCCAACTGAGTCATAATGAGGTGGTCATAATCGCCACTACGCAAAAGGGCGCACCAAAGTGAGTTGAGAATTAGCCAACAAAAGCCTCAAGTGCCCTTTAGAAGCTCCGTCGCAGCTCCAAATACGCCGACGAACCTCCTCGTGAACTTCGGTGCATTTGGTTATGTCATCTCGGCCCCTCTGATCGCTCGTTGCTGGGGTTAGTATCCAGATACACGGCAAGGTCAAGTGGCTGGCAAATATTGGTCCGCGGAGCCCGGCTTTCGCCACCCACTGGTGAGCTTTGTTTGCTCATAATTAGTATGTGAAGTAATTGCCAACTTCTATGTTAGCCAGTGGCAACTGCATTGTTATTAGCTTTTCCGATTGTTTGGCACGCTTCTGCACTTTGGCGCACTAAAATATTTAAAGGGTCGCAAAAGCGCTCCGTTTGAAGAGCAACTCGAAACGAAATTGCTTAGACTTTATTACTTTACGCATCTGTAACTACTACTTTCGACAAATTGTTGTTTAATCGGAACTCTAAATGCTACTTAGCCACCGGCGACTAAGAAACATTATAGTTTCTACGATTCCTACTACTCTTTTATTAGCTTTTTAACTCAAGATAAATGCAGTAATTTGGTTTGGCCCAAATTAGTATAAACAAGAAGAAACGCTATTGTCGACTATTAGGTACCAGTTTCCCTACTACTATAAACTCGAAATGTTTTATACGGAGACCCAACCTTAGCTAAATTAACCCGAGTGATGATTCTAATATACAATATGTTTCCTTCCATTTACAGTTCACTGATTATTCTAATATGTACAATTAGTATAGCCAAAGTGTTAAGACCTACAAGTTGATCTATTTAAGCATATAAGACACCATTGGAAATGTTTTAAATTAATAACTTTTAAGCTTTTGAATTAAGTAACACAGAAAATACGTTTTAAAAAATAAGTTCGATTTTTGGGATACACTTCGCGAAAAATAGCGTAGAACAATAGGGTCAGCATGCCAAGTGTGACCAACAAGGTTCAAGTTTGACCCAATTGACCCAGCTTAAACTGAGCTTTAAAAATATTGATATTTCTTGGAACAAAGTTTTTCTTGACGTAACATTTTTGGAATAAAGATAAACGGCTTCTTGAGATAGCAATTTAGTTCTAAAGTACAAAATAACATGCCAAGACTATAAGTTAATGTGCAATCTTCAACAAATTGTTATTAATGTCTTTTAGAATGATTGTGCCCGTTACTCGTTTAGCAACATATTTCTTGAATATAAGGTAAATGGTTGAAAAAAGATAATGATTTTCTTTAACCTTTTTCTATCTGTCAGGCAGCAGATTTATTCCCATTGAGACTGTGTACCCATCATGTCAATTTGTAATCCTCAATAGATCGAAATGATGAGCTATAAAAGCATCGTGTACCAATCGTGTCAATTTTAATCCTCAATAGATCGAAATCATCAGTTATAAAAGCATCTTAAAAATGTTTTTCCCACAACTATCTCTACTATAGTTTGTATATACGGTAAGGAATACAAAGGAATTAGCCACCATAAAATATTTCGTTTTTATCAATTAGTATAAATTAATAAGCTTTATTCAGATTTTCCATAGTTTTTGAACTTGTCAGCTTAAACCACATAACTTAACAATGAAACCAATACGCACAGATTAACAGACTGAATTACACTTACAAATAATTCGTCACAAACACTTCTTACGTCTTTGAAACAAACCGTTTAACAACTTCAAACCAAAAGTGGGAACAGGGAATCGGATATTGTATAAGTAGTAATAAAGTATCATCTATGAGCCACACCAAAACGAGGTTCAATGAAATGTGAATAGTAGACAGCTTTTTCTTGGACTCACAAAAATCCATCTTCCACATAAACTGATTGTCTGCTCCTTAAGCCGTTTTGCACTTACAGTATAAAAGCTTTAACTCTATCTGTTCTTTGTTGGTCTTTTGCCTGACTATATCCGTCCGTCCTATCGCCCTATCGTCCGATTAGATTAGTCGTTAAGTTGCCTAGAAGGCGAGGGTGGAGGTCGGAGTCGCGTTACATTTTGCAATTGGCTAGCTAGCTACAGTATAAATAAGTTTTACTATTAGACCTTTACAAAGTATTGCAACAAACTTTCCTTCCTTCTCTCAATATACAAAACAAGCTACAAATAGTATAACGTGTTCTTTAAGTTTAAAGCAGACTTAAGAGAGCATGGTTAGCTTTAACGTCTCGACTTGTTATCAAAAAATTGCCGTAAAAAAGTCTACAACTAGAGTGAGCAGGGGCGGACGCAGAAAAAAATTTTGGGGGGTCCGGTCGAAAAATTTTTTCGTTTGGGGGGTCCGGTCAATAAAATTTTTAGTTTATATGGTTGAAAGGCCGTGTGCTGTAAGGGAATTTGAAAAGTCTGCGATTTTGGGGGGGGTCCGGACCCCCAAACACCCCCCCTGCGTCCGCCCCTGAGAGTGAGTATGCACTGATTAGGTGAATAGATGGTATCTGACGTTATCTAGAATACGCTTCAATGGCTACAAATATTGTTCAAAAATAGGTTTCCTCTGGGCGCGAGTGATTGGATCTGTGTGTTCGAAAGGGGACTTGTAAACGGGTGCTCTATCAAAAAGGACTTGATTATCTCTTAGTTTGTGCTGCCGCCGCTTGTCCTGCTTAGCTTTAGTTGACGGTTCGGGTGGGTGGTGGGCATAGGTGGCCTTTGTTCGGTAAGATTCGGCTTATCCGAGGGACTTTTGACATAACTGATTCATGTATTTTCCGTACGTAAAATATAAATTACTAAAAACAATTCATAAACCGAGTTCTCCTGATTTGCCTTGCTATGGTACCAAATACTGCGTCTGCTACTTCTGCCAAGGTTCTTGTTGGTCTTGTTCTTCAATCTGGTTCAGTTTTACACGCTAAACACTTAACATAAACATAATGAATATCATCGTAGTACACCTAATCAGTAGTTATTTGACTTTGCGCTGGTGCAGACTAGAACTACTGCTGTCCGGGTTGAAGATGGCATCGTTGTTGGATAACACGCCGCCCTCCTTGAAGAATCCGTCCTTAAACCCTCCGTTGGCATGCCCGTTGCTCTTCACGTACTCGTCCTCCATCACGGGCTGCAAAGAGAACACAAAAGCTCGGTGAGATCGGGTTCGGACTCCGCTCTGCGTCGGCACGTGTCGGCACAAGCGAACATGTGTACTTTTCTAATGGGCGGCAGATTGGGATTGCGACTCGGACTCGGACTTGGACTCGAAATCGGACTGGGACTGCGACTGGGACTGGGCTTGGGCTTGGGCCTTCGCATCCGGCTTCACATGTGCGCGCTAATTGAAACGTCCCCCGCCTGAGTCGAGAGTTCGCAAGTGCTGTTTGCCCAACTCAGCTAGTTAGAATTTTAAGTTGATCAACAAAATTATGATGACACAACTGCCCACACCGGCTCGACTCTCCTCTTCCGCCGCTTTGAGTCTAGTCGAGTCGGGCAGAGTCGAGTAGGCAGGGTCTTGAGGCGTTCAGGTAAATATGTGCGCACGGCCACGACTAATGGCCCACGAGGGCTGAATCTAGTGCCCCCGAATGCGCCAAATGCGAATGCTTACCATGCATGCCCCCGTATTGCTGCCGTTGGTTAGCAGTGCGTCGCCCTCTCCGAGGTGCTTGGAGTGACCGTTGGAGTGCAGGCCGTTGGCCTGGCCATTGGCCTTGACAGCCTGGCGGCGACGGCGGGCTGCATTCAGGTACTTGGCCTTGTAGAAGTCGGAGAACAGGAACAGGAACATGACGCCGTGCAGCCCGATCCAGACCATGAATCCCTTGGGGTAGTCGCACTCGCGGAACAGCAGCTGGAACTGGTGTGTGAAGATGGCCACGAATTGCACCTGCAGGACGAGCGAAAGACTTTGTTAGATGGCCGACCGGACCGCCTGAGAGGAGCACTTCGCCTTACCATTTGGAAGGTGGTCAGGTACTTCTTCCACCAGATGTACTTCTGGTACCTCGGGCCCATCGCGGCGATCATGTAGTAGAAGTACATCACGATGTGCACGAACGAGTTGAGGAGGGCGAAGAAGGTGCTGTGGCCGCCTGCGATTGGAATTGGATTAGGATTAGGCCGTGAGCTCGCGAGTGCGCTGAACGCGACGACTATACGCACCTGGAGCAAACTTGAGACCCATCCAGACCGAGAAGGGCATGCAGCCGTGGTGGATGACGTGCAGTGTGGAGACGTGCTCGTTCTTCTTCCGCAGAATGAAGAAGAGGGTGTCGAAGAACTCGGTGAACTTTGATATGTAGTACCACCAGCAGATGTTGACCATCTAGACGTTGGAATAGCAGAGTTTAGTTTACTGTCTCAGGAAGGTCCTGGCGGCGACCGGCGACCTTACCCGCATGGCCAAGCCACTGGTGCTGTAGTCGACAGGCTGGCACTTGAAGCTGTAGTGGCCCCACCATCCGCTCATTAAGTACTGCAAGAATCAGAACACGGGATTGTAGTTAGGAGTACAGGCTACAGGATTCGGGAGGAGCCACTTACCTCGTAGAATATCCACGCGCTGAATATGGTCTGTATCGCGTTGTAGACGACCAACACCGTCCGCAGCTCCATCGGCTTCCGCTTGGCCATCAGCCTCGGTCCCAAGGACTTGCTGAAGTAGGCGTAGAATATGCACATCGCCAGGGTGGGCAGTGGCGAGGACAGCAGGAAGAAGCCGTTGACGCGGGGATCTGGAAAGAGGAAAGAGGGACGCCGTCAGAGGGGCTCAGACCCGACTCGCTGGTGGTCACCTTACCGCTCTTGTTGTCCATGAGGTCCCGGTACCACTCCTGGGCTTCTTGCAGTAGGATGGCCATTGTGATGTCGCTTCCGCTTGACGTCTCTGTGATGCTAGCAACGGGCTCGGTCCAGACTGTGTTTGTAAGGCAACTGAAATGGGAACCGGACAATGGGGTTGTTGACTAAAAGGTATACATGTTCGGGGAGTGAAGGTCACTGACAGACAGCCTGCGAGCTGTGTTTAATTCACAGCCAACTGACGACCCGGCTGGGTACATTTCCTATGGGTAATAGCTCCGAACTTGACGCCAACCACGGAACGAGGAGCTTGTGCACATGCACCAGTGCCCAGTGTGGCCAATATGCTAAGCACACGGCACACGGCAGGGTAATTGCCAATGCATTAGAGGCAAAAACACATTTAAAAGCGAGATTCATGCAATTAACAATCCGCCCGTTAATCAACACTTCAGATCAGGAAATTATAGACAGGCACGTCGGCCCAGCGGAGGCGGTGGGTAATGAGGGCGTGACTTGGCCACTTGCACAATGCGCACTGCTATTCGCTGGCCGGTAGCAATTAAGATGCCGCTAACTGGACAGGGACTGCACTTTGTACCCGCGACCGGGTTCCAGATTCCAGCACAGTGGGATGGGATCCGATCCGATCGGATCCGATCGTGGGTTCAGGGAGTTCAAGCACTCCGTCGGCGAGGCAGTGACTGGTTTTCGCCACACTGTCTTATGAATATCAATTGGTTTGCGGGCATCGAACGACATCCAGCGAAAGCAGATTCTGGGGTTCGCGGTTTCGCTTTTTTCGAAACCGGCAGTGATGGGAAAGGTACAATTTAGCTTTCAGCTGAGTTAGGTAAAAACCTAGAACCTCAATGTTTGAAGGTGTAACCCAGTGTCCCGTCTTTATGGGAACCTAACTCATGGTTTTTAAGTGATTACTAAATCAATCCAGCGTAGCTACCGAATCTCGAAGCTTCCAAGCCCGAAGTTTCAATTATGCAACTCAAAGTCGACTTAACTGAAACTTTTTCGGTGCCAAAACGTTGGTTCGCGGTAAAGAGGATCGATTGTAAACGAACTGGTTGTTCGAGTTCAATGTTTTTGGTTATGCCTTAATCATTACAATTTAAAAAAAAAGTCGTTTTTTACTATCGTGTTCTTGAAAACATTGATAAATAAAAATGAAAAAAAAAAAAACTGTTGCAATGAGTAATCAAGACAATAAGTTGGTTATTTTTGTTCTTAAGAACTCGCGACTGATTTTGTAGACAAAAATGGTCATATCCCTTACCAGAATTTCGAAGAATTCGAAGTACCTAACCATGAGAACAGTCCCCGTCCAGACACAACTTCCGAGACACCGCCCCTCACTGTCATTAAAGGCGTTTGAACGGGCGAGTTGCGGCCAATTCAGGTTGCTTTTGAATGTCATGAACAATAAACTGGCCATGGCGATGGCGATGGTGATGGTGATGGCGATGACGATGCCGATGGACACGTAAGAGTTGAGCAACTGGCTCAATAACCGTTGACAAAAATGTGCCGCTTTATGGCCGCGGCCGTTGCCTCAGCGAGCGCGAAATTCGCGGCTGTCGCAACCGGAGAGTGTTGTTGCTGGCTCTTCGGTTTGCTGTGTGGGTCAGTGGCACGCTTTCCGAGTCGGCCTCGCCCGGAGGCACAGCATCCGCGGGGGAGCGGCGCCGGCGACGGGGGCCAACTTGCGATTTCGCTGTTTGATTTGCATAAATTATGAAACGCTCGCGATGACGCTTCCGCCGAGGGATGGGCCACCAGATAGCAGATACCAGACACCAGACCAGACCAGCACCTACCTCGAAATGGGAGGCGGCGCCCCGGGTTATGTAAGCGACTTGCCGCCGCCGGCGGGGCAGAGGGCCAGAGCACAGGAGATGCAAGCCACGGGGAAGCACAAATCGGAACGGCAAACAAGGCGGCACCTGTGCTCGAGCACACGCCCAGCCCAAGAGTCGCCGGGCCTTGCGCCGAGCAAACAGCCGCCTGTTGCTCTTCCGGCCCAAAGCACCAGCTCCCGCAACAAACGCCCTGCCCTGAAGGCCATGCCCCGCTTTACACAACCCTGCCTGCAATGGGGGTTGGGTGCTATTTGCTATTTGTGGGTGTTGGGCGTTGGGTGTTGGATGTTGGGGGGTTGGTGCTGGGTGCTCGGCTCGCACGCTATTGTTTACACGGCTCTGCAGTGGCTTGCATTTTCGAAATCAATTAGAGCGGCTACGCCCCCGAGGCAGCGCAACAAGCTGCAACAGCGGGCAAAAATGGCGGAGACGGCGGAGGTTGCTGATTTTATCGCCGCTCACAACAGGCTGTTATGTCTGTGTGGGTGGATTGCCGGCGATGACCGGGTCCTCTTTGGCCATCGACCACGGAGCAAACCTAATTAGGTGGAAAATCGATGCGCAAGGGTCCTCGGGTGACGCATCCCCCCCGGCTGATAAGCGATACATGAGTCACGGCCCGAGTGCTAATCTGCGGCGAGATAGAAGCCAAGTTGCACGAGGGGTGATAATTACGGCCGGCAATCGACCGGACCGCTGGCCCCTTATCAGCGCCAGAAAGCCCGTTTGGGCCTGATCCGGCGTTCGGTTCGATCGGCTAATTGGATTCGGCGATAAGCCGGCCAAAGCACTTCCGACCGCCCAATCTGATTCAGCCTGAGTAGTCAGCTTTGGTGGGAGTCCCGTCACGTTCCGGGCGATTATACAATGCGGTTGGCCAAGACCGAAGTCCACTGGCTTTGGCCACGCACCTGCCCCCCTTTGCGCCAATACCCCACTGTCCGCCCCCTTTAGTGTTTATTTGTTTTGGTTGCGATTAGAGCTTCGTCGCTATTCCAGCCAGCACTTTGCGCTCGTTATCTAATCGCAGTCACAGTAACAGTAACAGTCAGAGTAACAGCAAAAGTAACAGTAAGAGTAACAGTAAGAGTAAGAGTAACAGTAAGAGTCACTCGCAAGGCCACGCACACTCACTTGGTCACTCAGCATGGGCTGTGATTGCCTTCTTGGCTAATCGCTCGCTTGACAGCTCGTTGGGAGTCCGATCGGAAGGTTTGTCCACGCGATGCTCCGCCTCGCACGCCTTTAAGCCAACTGACGGCCGCTCGGATGTGCGTCTGAACCTTATCAGGCGGCGGTGGCGACAACCGTCAACAGCGGAGCGTCGCCGACTCGACGAAGTCGAATCGATCAGTGCGCGCACGAGTAAAACGATTATGCGGCTTAACTGTGAATCACGCCAAGTACCTCCGGGCAGTATCGAGTATCAAGTATCGGGTCGGGTGTCGGGTGCCGGGTATAGAGTGTATAGGGTATAGGGTGTTGGCTTTTCGCTCTTGGGGCGTTGGGTACGCAGTATCAGTGTGCACGGTTCACTTCGGGAAGGGCTTATCACCGTCGCAATGTGGAGGCGGCGCGAGAGTGGTCGGGAGCCCAGAGGCAGACAAGCCGCTACGTGAACCGTTGGCCAGCGAGCCAGAAATACAACTGACGCGCCGCTCCGCAGCGCAGCCCCGATCAAAGATGGCCTGGCCGTCTTCGCCTCGGCTCATGTTGGTGCCCGCCGAGTCGAGCTTACAGTGCAAATTATGTGTGTGTGCACAGCACCGGCCAGGAAACTAGCACCATGCACCGTCGAAAAAGCAGAGTGCCCCCCGAAAAAAAGTTGAAAGACGGGACATCGAGAGACGCATACATAATTAGCAAGAACCCTAATCTCAGTCTACCAGATGCACACTAGCTGGCTGCATTTTATAAAGGGCACTGATTCTTTAATCTGTCCATTAAAATGTTTTACATTTTAACCACGAGAGATTTTACAAAATTAACGATCCAACGCGACCAAAGAGAAAAACCAAATTTTTCAATCCAACTTAAAAATATAAATACCTTAATGTGGGTCATCATATTCGGTTGGCAATAAGACTGTCATTAATCAAACCAAAAACCCAATCAAAAATAGTCGAAATGCTTTGATCCGTACGAATTTTGTAGGATCGTTTGATAATAGCTACATAAGCTTTTAATTGCAACTCTATTATCTAGGTTAACTAATGCTCGCAATATATTGATTTGCGAAAGCGAAACGCCGTTGCAAACAAAATGAAAAACTTGCTGCTGCTCACACAAAAACCTTTTAACGCCGTTTTTCCACAGTTCCGAAATCTGATTGAATCATTTAAAAAAAAACGGAAGCTTTTGGGGTTGCCATATCGTTTCACTACAAACAAATGACATTGCATTTCGTGGCAGGGTCCTGGTTTTTTACCCATCGCTGTATGTGAATGGAGGCGGAGAGAACGGGAGAAAACCTCGCAGGGAGATTGAAGCGTGATTTTCTGTTGTCTGTTTTCCGTTTTCTTCCACTCTGCTTTTCTGCTTTCCGTGGCAAGTCGCCATCTTCTGCGGCAACAGTTGGCTGGCTGATGTAACAGCGATTGACGCGACAGCTCGTTGGCCATTTCCATCCATGCACTGGATTTGGCTTGCTGGCTAGCTGGCCAGTTGGCTGTGGGCCATTAGAGCGCCGCCAAACCACTTTCGCTTTCCGCTGCCGCCGCTTCTGCACCACCGGTTGACGGGGGCTGAGCGGGAGTGGGAGTGCTGGTGGGCCACCCTTGTGGAGGGGTTGCCAGACGCCCGGCAGACACCTCGCCCACCTCACGGACGGGGGTGCGTCGCTTGCGAAACTGTGCCACATGCAACAAGTGCTCGGAAATCCCCGACCAGCCGACCAGCCGAACGGAAAACGGGAATCGAGAAAAAGCCCGATCGATGCACCGCAGGTGAGGAACAAACGGGAATGGGAATGGGAGAACGGCTCGCAGTCGAGAAACCGTTACCTGCATGCTCGAGGCCTAATTTCTGGACTGGTCAGTCAAGCAGCCAGTCTGCCCCGAAACTTGGCCAACTGGAAATACGTTTTCGTATTCTCCGCGCTCGCTACTTTCTTTTCATTCGATTTCTGTTCTCTCGCAAGTAAATGCAAATGTGACCCTTTGTCGGCCATCGGCTCCCCACCAGCACCAGCTCAAGACCGCTTTGGGGGCGTAAAGTGGGCGGGGCCATGGAGGTTTGCTATTTGCCGGCTCTCGAAAT